ATACTGATGGCATGCTCCTACTTGTGTGGGTAAGTGAAGTTTCAACAGCACACAAGAAGTTTGACGCCATCCAGGTCAACCAGCTGACTTGATCAGCTCCTTGCACTATCTTAAATATTCACTCCCTTCAACATCCAATGCAACGAGGCCACAGTGTGTATCATCTAAAAGATGAACAGCAGTGACTCATTAAGGCTCATTCAGCAACATCTTCTAAACCTCTGACCCATTCCAGCTAGGAGGACAAGGAAAATAGGCACGTAGGAACTCTGTCACCTGCAATATTCTGACCAAGTAACACAACTCGACCTGGAACTGTCTCACTGTTTCATCATCATTGCTCGGTCAAAATTTTGAAACTTGTTCCTGATAGCAGGAAGGTTGGGAGATGGTCTCTTATCAGCAATGGTGACTGCCTGGCTATTTAATGGCATGAATTTTACTTAACATTTATCAACCCAAGCTCGGCTGGTATCCAGGTCTTGCTGCAAACATAACTTCTTCAATGATATCAAACTGCAACCTGTGACACACATTACGGGGACCTTAGGATGTAGGTGATGTCAAGCCAACACTGTAACCTTCATTCAACACAAGGAATTACATGCACAATGCCAGTTTTTTCCAACAATACATTGGATTAGTAATATTGAGAGCTAGGCCCACTTCTTTAGATCTTGTTTTAAACCACTTGCATTTAATTTCTATCTTTTCAAATTTCATCTTTTCTGTACGATCATCCATTTGTTCATTCTTACAATTATACTTCTAAACCATTACCCCATTATTGTGCAGCATACAAGGAATGAGCTAGATTTCTCACAATTAGCTTTTTAAAATATGTGCACATTAAATTAGCTTCTATAGGCCGACTAATTTCTCAACATTTGACTTGAGTGATAGATCAGATTCTCATGATCATAGCTGGTCTCAACACCCGTGGATGACAAACTTGTCAATCTGTTGATTTGAATATAACTGAGAAAAGACACATTTTGTTGAAGCATTTCATTTGCACTTATCAGGACAAGTCACAAGAATACCAAGGTAAAGGGAAAGCAACATTTAGACTGTATGTGAGGAGAGTGCTGATTGGTTGGAAGTGGATTCTGATTGGTCAAGGCATTGTCCTGGAAAAGGAACCGGTGAATGGTGGTTAGTAATTTTGTTGAGTTGAAGCTAGTACAGTATTATACACATTCTCCCTGTCTGCAGGGGTCAGGGCCCTGTATATTAAAATGTGCAGCTTCTAGTAAACGTGAGTGTTTCACGCTGCGAGCTGACTGACAATCTTAAATTGGTTGTCAGCACTATTCTTCACACACTCTGGATTATTTAGCAATTGCTGTCCAATTGTGGATCCACATCTAATATTGGACACTGTGTTGTGAATTTTGCAAGCATGGGCTGGTGATTATCATCAGTACTCTACTTGTTGCAAATAGCCAAAGGGATATGCTGTTGGACACAAACTGCCAGTTTTTGGGACATAGGGTCTAAATACCTAGCATCGCACAACACATGGCACCTTATTCATTATTCATGTTTGTGATAGGCATATGTCTTTGGCGTGACTCATATTGCTATTGTATAGTATTAGAACGAGATAGCTATTCATTATGATATTAATTCCCAATGTTTCTCTTACATTTTCATACTGGATTTTTACGGTTCAATCACAGCTTTAATAGCAATAGTTGAAGTTCACTATAAAATTTATAGCTTGTAGGCCACAGGAATTTACCACTTAGCTCTGGATCCTGTTCAGATATTCAATAAAATCATGGCTTATTAGCGATATAGTCCACATTGCACTTTTGCCCCTTATCACTCAATTCCTTTGATTAACAAAAGTCCACCAATCACAGCTTTAAAATCAAGAATAAATTTAGCATCAACTGCTGTTTGCAGAAAAATAAAGTTCCAAACTTCTACCCCTCTTTTACATGAAGAAATGAATTATAATTTCAGTTTTGAAAAGTCTCGCTCTAATTTTACAGTTCATGCCCCCTAGTCCTCGAATCCTCCCCCATCAGAAATATTTTCTTTCTACATACCTTATTTGTTCCCCTTGATATCTAAAACATTTGTTCAGATAATACCCTTAATCAGCTCAATTCCAGAAATTACAGCTCTACTTCCTGCGTTCTTTCCTTGTTCTTTTAACCTTGGAATTATTGGTGAGGCCAAACCAAAAGGACTGGCGTGGATTTTTTGACAGACTTTGAAGTCATCGTATCTGAATCAAGTGGAGGTTCCAAGTCTGAATTTGTCAGCAGTGAGGCCAGTGAGAGCACCAGTCACTGAATGGCTGCCTCCTCAATCAGGTGGTATCATCTCAGAGATATGCCAGCCAATCTGTAGCTTACAGCAATACCATTGGGAGTAGTGCATACTGATCAGACTACAGGCATTGCACAGGTTCTAGGTGGTGGGAGTGCTGCACAAGGGTAATTCTGGGAGCATCACAGAAGGGACAGGAGGGGAAGCACAGGATTTGGGGAGGAGTGACAGATGCGAAGGTCATGTTAATAACGGAAAGAATGCCAAGGACTTGTGGAGGAGACCAACTGGGAAAGGGGAACATTGAGGCAGTCAGGCCTGCTTCTTATTTCCTGCCCACAGCCTGAGCAAGCTAATGTCCTTGATCTCCTCCCGTTCACCTCAAAATGATAAGGTTGAGAAAGAGCTCTTCAGTGGCCAATAATTGTCCACTTAACGACCTTTTTTTTGGTCAGGGCAAGTGAGCTGGCTTACACCTTCAACCTCCTACTTATAACCTTGTTGTCAGGTCAAGGGGGGAGGCAGAAAGGCAGTGGGTAAGACAGAGAGAATTTTATAGACCTGTCTGCCAATAAACCCAGCAAACTTGTAAAATTCTAGCCTGTTATATATCAATCCAATTTAAGGCAAATCTGAAATAAACTGACTGTTGAATGGTGCAGGCAAGTGCAAACGGTAGGAAACAAAATAATTTCAACTAACAGGGCTATTTTGTTTGAATTTAAAACCCAAAAATCTATTCTGGGGGCACATCATATGCACCATTGTATGGTGTAGAGTAAATATAGGTACCTTAGAAGAGGATACAGATCTACATCTGACCCTTTATGGACATTGATCCCACAAGGTTTGATGGGAGGTGATGGCTAGCGATTACACCACTAGAAAAGCAATCCAAAGGCCCAAGCTGATACCCTGGTGACATGAGTCTCAAAACAGCAGGTGGTAGAATTTAAAATCAATTAATAAATCTACATTTAAAAGCCAGTTTAATCATTGATTGTTATGAAAATCCAACTGGCTCACAGACATCATTAAGGAAAGAAAATCTGTCAATCTGACCTACACTAGCCTAAATGTCACTCCAAACTCAAAGCAATGCAGGTGGCTCCGAAGTAGCCTAGTTAGATATTCAGATCGATGACAATGAGGAAGGTCAGCAAATATTGGTCTGCATCCCATAAATTATTTCTTTAGAATTCTTTACTCTCTGCTTGTAAATATGATTGCAGCTATGTTTGCAAGCGTGATTAATCAGACTTTGCTAGCTACTGATCACCATGGCATTAGTACCATGTAATTCAGGTTCTATTGTGACTAGGGTGTTTCTGAAGCACAAACCAACTGTGTTACCACTCAAGCACAGCACTGCCTTAATGTCTACAGTTCCAGCTTCCTTTGGGAACATGCATTAATCATTTTTCGAAATGCAGTCTGCCAACCTCCGCAGATATGTCTGAGCAAGTACTGACAAGTAACCACAGAACATATTTTATGCAGCTTGGACTTCAGGAACCCCTTTACTCATTTTTCTTTTCTTCTAAGATTGTCACCCAGAGTGATTCCTATTCAGACACCCATTTGGTGCCTTCAATGGTGCTGGGAGAGTAAGAACTGCACCGATCAGAACAAAAACACATGTATAACTTGAGAAAAGATCAAACAGAAATAACACTGAACAATTCTTAAAGAGCACTGTGTGCACTTCTGGTCACCCTGTTCTAGGAGGACATTATTAAACTAGAAAGGGTTCAGAAAAAATACCAGGATGTTGCTGGGAATGGAAGGTTTGAGATACAAATATAGACTGGAAAGACTGGGACAGTTTTCACCAGAGCTCAGGAGGTTGAAAGGTGACCTTATTGAGATTTATAAAATCATAAGGGACATAGATGAGGTGAAGGACAAGAGTCTTTTCCCTAATGTGGGGGAGTTCAAAACTATGGGGCATATTTTTAAGATTTAAAAAGAGAAAGATTTAAAAAGGACATGAGGGGCAACTTTTTTACACGGAGTGTAGTTTGTGTGTGGAACAGAGAAATTGGTGAATGCTGGTACAGTTACAACGGTTAAAAGACATTTGGATAAGTTCATGATTAGGAAAGATTTGGAGGAGGGACCAAGCACAGGCAGGCAGGACTAGTTTAGTTTGGGAACATGGTCGATGTGGATTAGTTGCTGTATGACTCTATTAGAAAATCTGAACATCTATTAGAGATACAAAACTTGCAACTAATGATGTGCTGGCACATTGGCCAGAAAATTGTGAAAGGCAAAACTGCATGACTTCTGGATAAGGAGTTCCCAACTATTTCCAGAATTACAGGTCATCATCCTTTCTGTTGTGTCCCTTGAATTGGTTCACAGAGATTGTAACAATAAAATCAACCAATCAGTTGAAAGCCATGCAAACAGGAACTCATATGCAACAATGGTTTCTTTATTATCCTTGCATTTTAGAATCAGTCAACAATAGGGGAGATGTGCACCTTTACCACATTTTCATTCAATAGAATGAAGATTCATCTGTTTCTACAAAGAGTGTGCAATCTGGCACACCAGGTTACCACCTAGGCAGTAAATATTGACATCGACCCCTCTGCATTGACATGCAAACAAATCAACAGGACAAGAATATAGGTGTTAGTTTACTTGAAAAAATTACTGTGCCTCATTTCAACTGCAATACAGTTAATAGCAGACCAATGCACACCTACCTGCACACTAGTCAGGGTTGTATACTGGTAAGCCTTTATTACAAGGTAGTTGGCTTCTATATCTATTAATCCCAAGATCATGTACTTCCACCATCTTCGTTTTAATATTGCCAACAGATTCTCTTCCCCTGTCAAAAGAAAAGACCATCAGATTACAAGTGCAACCAGTCATTATGAAAAAAAAATTGCTATGGTTAAAATTTTTTAGTTGCAAAGAATCCAGCAATTTTGTATAATGAGGCCATATATTCCTCTGTTCATCAAATTAGTAACAGCCATGAGATTGGTGTGAACACAACTAGGGTGTCTGTGATTTTGTCTTTGCTTACAACAGACCAGGTACCAAGTACATTGCTATGGGGTAAGCTTGAAAAATTTAACACCCACATCACACATACATTGAAGTGGCCAACTTTTCTCTTATTCTACTATCACATTTTTGCATTGAGATTTGTGGAAGCACAATAGTGTCTTAATCTGATTGAATATATATGTATTGATACAAAACAAAAATTATTACTGCTGAGATTGTCAAATGTCACTGATTCAGGACACTTTTCTCTGCTTTTATGAAATTCAAAACTCCTAATTTTACAGCCTTAGATTAAGTCATTTTGATCAGCCAAAGGAGAAAGGGAAAAATATACTCATTGAAGAAACCAAACTAAACTTGTTTGGTTATTGTTATATGGAACTCAAAATGATACAATAATAGCAGGAAATAACCCAGATAGGAATTAGGAAGGTTAAAAGGGGCCATGAAATGTCTTTGGCAAACATGATTAATGAAAATCCCAAGCATTTTATACGTAGAAAAGAAGCAACACTGTAGTTAGGGAATGGGGCAAAGGAGGGAATTTATGCATGGAGCTGAAGAAGTGGGTGAAGTCCTTAATGAATAGTTTGCATCAATATTCATAAAGGAGAAGGACATGGTGGATCATGAGTCTCGGGAGGAGTATGTTGATATTCTGCGGCATGTCAATAAAAAAAAGGTGTTTTGAAAAGCATTAAGATAGACAAGTCCCCAGGACCTGGTGCGATCTATCCCAGAATGCTGAGGGAGGCAGATGAGAAAATTACTGGGGCCTTGTATGAAATCTTTATATCGTCTTTAGTCACAGAAGAGGTCCCAGAGGACTGGAGAATAGCCAAAGTTGTTCCTTTGTTTAAGAAGGGCAACAGGGATAATCTGGGAAATTACAAGCTGGTGAGCTTTATGTCAGTGGTAGGGAAATTATTCGAGAAGATTCTTAGGAATAGGATTTAGTCACATTTGGAAAAATATAGACTTATTTGCAGTAGGCAGCATGGCTTTGTGTGGAGAAGGTCATGTCTTGCAAACTTGATTGAGTTTTTTGAGGAAGTGACAAAGATGTTTAATGAAGGCAGGGTGGTAGATGTTGTCTATATGGACTTCAGCAAGGCCTTTCACAAGGTTCCTCATGGCAGTGTGATACAAAAGATGAAGTCACATGTTATCCATGGAGAGCTGGTAAGATGGATACAGAACAATTTTAGTCACAGAAGACAGAGAATAGCCAACCATGAAAGGGTGTTTTTCTGGTTGGAGATCTGTGGCCAGTGGTGTTCTGCAGAGATCAATACTGGGACTCCTGCTGTTTGTAATATATATATATATATATAAATGATTTAGAGAAGTATATGGGTGAACTAGCAAGTTTGTGGAAAACACAAAGGTAGGCAGAGCTGTGGATAATGAGGAGGATTGCCAGAGGATACAGCAGGGTATGGGTCGTCTGGAGACTTGGGCAGAGAAATGGCAGATGGTGTTAAATCTGGAAAAAAGCAAGATGATGCATTTTGGAAGATCTAATGCAGAAGGGAAGTATACAGTAAACCACAGAATTCCTACAGTGTGGAAGCAGGCCATTCGGCCCATCAAGTCTGCACCAACCCTCCAAAGAACACCCCACCCAAACCCTAACTCCTGTCCCTGTAACCCTGCATTTTTATCATGGCTGATCCACCAAACCTACACACCCCTGAACACAATGGGACTATTTAGCATGGGCAATCCACCTAACCTGCAAATCTTTGGACTGTGGGAGGAATCCAGGAGTACCTGGAGGAATCCTAGGCAGATACAGATGAGAATGTGCAAACTCCACACAGTCACCCAAGGCTGGAATTGAACCCAGGTACCTGGCACTGTGTGGCAGCAGTGCTAACTACTGAGCCACCGTGCTGCCCAGAACCCTTACTAGCATTAACATACAGAGGGATCTAGGCATACATGTCCACAGTTCTATGGAAGTGGCAACACAATTGGATAAGGTGGTCATGAAGGCATATGCCATGTTTGCTTTCATTGGTTGGGGCAAAGAATAAAAAAGAGTTGGCAATTCATACCGCAGCTGTATAGAACTTTATTAGGCCCCATTTGGAATATTGTGTTACAGTTCTGTCATCACACTCCCAGAAGGATACCAAGGCTTTGGAGGGGATGCAAAAACAATTTACCAGGATGTGGTGTGGTTTGAAGGGTATTAGCTAGGAGGAGAGATTGGACAAACTTGATTTGTTTTCATTTGAACGTTGAAGGGTGAGGGGCGACCTGATAGAAGTTTACAACATAATGACAGGCTTAGACAGAATGGGTACTCAGAATCTTCTTCCCAGGGTAGAAATACCAATTACTAGGGGACATAGGTTTTAAGGTAAAAGGGGATAATTTTAAAAGAAATTTGAGAGGGTGGTAAGTGCCTGGAATGCACTGCCAGAGGGAGTGGTGTAGAAGGATACAATACTAACATTTAAGAGGCATCTTGACAGATAGACGAATAGACAGGAAATAGAAGGATATGGTTGTGCAGAGGCAAAAAGTTTTTAGGTTAGAAAGACATCGTGTATTGGCAGAGTCTTAGTGGGCTGAATGGCCTGTTCCTGTGCTGTACTGTACTGTTCTTTGTCCAGTGATGTTGCACTGTGCTGTCCACTTATGCAATAATGCATGAGAAATTTGTCATGCTATCGGTCATCTTGATTTTTTATTTAATCCTTATAAATGTCTGTTCTTTGAAAATTACATTGTCTTAAATTATTGGCATTTTCCTTGTTCACAATCAACTTGTTTGGTCTTAGTTCAATATCATGACATCAGAATCACCAGCAAGTGACCTCTGTATCAATTATACAGGCTATAAGTTTATTCCTTTGGTAATGAAATTTGCTAACTTTCAAACGAAAAGGACTGGCAGATAATGACAGAAAACCTAAACGATCGAAATAGCTCTAAGTGCTTTCTCCTGGAAGAAATGGATCAATGGGAATAATTCCAAAACTATATGTCAATATTTTAAAATATGCATGCCGAAAATAACTCTTCTCACAAAAATATTTTCAACGTTTCAAGTCAACAATGCAGCAACGTGTTCATCATAGACAGAAAGCAAGAACTACAGATGCTAGAGTAAGAGACAACACAGTATGAAGCTGGAGGAATACAGTAGGCCAGCCAGCATCACAGGAGCAGGAGAGTTGATGTTTCAGGCCGGGACCCTTCTTCAGAAATGTGTTCATCGTGACAACTTTACTGAAGTGAAGTTTGAGATGTCTGTCTGCTGGGTGTATGGCTTTCAATCCAAACATCTTCCTTTACATACTAAAATAGCATAGAATGTCATGTGCACTTTTAATTACCCAAGTTATCAACTATGTACACTATTGTTCTCATACTTTAGCAGTTTCTTATTTCCATCAATCTCTGCATATGCATAGTACAAACAGAGTGCAAACTAATTGGGACCTGAATGATATGGGCTATGGTGAGAAATGTCACAGAATTGCATGAGAAATCCAGCGAGGCCTAACTCAACATCGGAAAAAATGCATCTTTTAACTAAATTCTGGAATTCGAGGCTAGATTCTTGCTGGGAAGCAACAAGTATTGCTTGATAATAAATGTCAGTATTGTCTCACTAATAGGCAGGTTACTCCTGTGCCATCTTCCGTGAGCAACCTAGGTGCTGAGAATTCTTGAGATGGAAGTCCAAGCAGGTACCTGACACTTCAACTCACTGTGTGCAACAAGGGTCCTCCATGTTGGACACTAGGCACAAACATCCCAGTGTACACTCCATGGGCACTAGCCACATGCAAGCCATGTACATGCATATTGACATCTGTGCAAGCCTCTGAGAACCTTCACGTCACATTCCAAATGTACTGGAAGTTAACTTCTTTACATCAATCTTGCACCTTGGGAGATAACAATAACCATCATTGCTATGCTGCAGCAAGGATATTGAGCACTAAGGGACATGGATCCAGGTCATAGACAGACCAGGCTGTATATCAGTGCTATTTGCCTGCTCACGTAGTACTCATTCACTTTGAGCTTATCTGAATGCTCACATCATATCTGCCTTGCCTCTCAGCCTGACATATCAGGCTTACAGTGCTCCTGTTTCATTGTGCGGATTAGTGCAGATACAAACCAAGAAGCTTGTCACAGTTGTCAGCAGTCCTCCGTCAAGTCAAGGGAGATGGCCTTTACTCAGGGAGTCCAGCACAGTAAGTGAAGAGCAGTCTCCAGTACCAGCCTTAGACACGATCAGTGAGTCACTCGGAAATAGTCAGAGTCACAATGGTCTCCACATAGGGGAGAGGAGCTGAACATCGGGCAGCCTACCATCCGTCTTGACTCTTTCTACGCTGTTGGGGGCTGTTTCCCTCCTGGAATGACACACAGGCCGGTTTTAAGGGAGACAAAAGTAGGTAGCACGGCTCTTACTTTGCAGATGGCAGATGTTCTGAACGAGAGAATGGGCAGAGCAGAGGCCATGGACAGTTAGTGGTTTCAGGAGCTGGGATAAGTGAGACCATATGAGGGAAGATGCTGCAGCCAATAGTGAGAATGGTAGAGCATCAGTGTCGGTCAGAGGTGGGTACAGTAATAGAGAGAGTCTGTGAGGTATCGAAGAGAAAACAGTGGCACTTATGCCAGCAAAGTGGAGAAGTCATTGATTTTTTCCTACAGCGCTGTACATTTCTCCAGATGATTAAGACTGCACTGACCCAGGTGGTAGCCTCAGATCAGGCTGGCATCATCTAGCATTGTGACCTTTTCTGCAAGTCCTGGGGGAAGAGGAGATGCCACCTGTGT